GTAATTTTATCAGGTGCATGTAGATGTAGAGTTCAAAAAGTAGAATTAAGTTATACCTAACAATAATTGTTACACCTAACCTTAAAACCAAAAATCTGAAAGTTGCAGAGAGCTTTGTCACTGTTACCTGATCGGCTTTCCTGTGCAAATTAAGAAGACGAAGAAGAAGCAGTCTGCAAAAACTCTTCAGGTAATTGCTTTGATTGCTTCACTTAGAAAATTTGTGCTTTCTCATCAACAAATCACACTTCAAATTTAACACAGAATCATGTAGCCAGAAGTAAACTGTGCCTGTTTCTGGAAAAACCGCAAAAAGGCTTTTCATTATGTACAACTTCCACCACCATTTGATTTCACTTTGATAGTTGGGGAAGAAGCTGGACGATTGATTGTTCATTGATGCCATGTTGCTGATCCAGGGAAATGATAGCTTTGACCAGTTTAGTAATTTTCCTTTTTTGTAACTGTTTTTAATAGATTAATTGTAGAACATACCTCAAGGAAAGCATTCATTCATGGGTGAGTCTGATCATCACCAAGCTGACAGCAATGCCATAGAAAAAGTGGTGAGCATATTATGTTGATGAGAAGCATTGTGTTGAGTCGAGTCAAGTGTTGAGATCTAATTAATTTTGTGTGATTTGCAGGATGGAAACTTCTTACTAGCACCCCGAGCATTTGACATACCATGGGGTAAAGATTATTGGCGCATTCCTCCTGAAACAAAGTAAGAATGTATTTGTCTTTATTTGTGCAAAGATTTATCTGTTATTGACTTGTATTTGGTCTGTTGGAATATATCAGTAAATATATCTTCATCATCATTGCAATTGTTGGATTTGTGAAATTAATGAGTAATTGTTTATGTGAAATTTACACGTATGTAAGCGGGTCTGACACAGAAGAAATATATGTAACTTTCTTGTATTGAAATGGTTAAAAGTAGCTAGAAATTGGAAATAACAAGTAGAAATAGATCCTTAGACACATGCTTCTCATCAGCATTGCTTTGTTTTTGTTTTTTGTAGGGTTGGAGAACCTGCAGCACAATCTAGTTCCCTAAAGTGGATTGAACTTAGCAGTTCAGTAACTGTAGTTCCAGGAAAGAAATATCGCATAAGTTTCAGATTAGGCTTTGAGCCAGATGCATATGGTTATGAGGGCACTCCTGTTTTCTTAATGGCTAAAATTGGGAAGACTGGGCGCCATAGCTGGAAAAGGTTAAAGAAACTGGAGAAGGTACCTAGAGGACCAATTGATACTCCAGATGACAATGACCCCTTTGAAATTGAGGTTCCATCTTCAGAAGTTTCTGACCCTACCATCCATTTTGGTATCTATGAAACTTGTGCTTGGAATTCAAAGAAAGGTTTGCTGTTATACAGTGCATCAGTGAAAGAAGTTTAGGGTTTTATGTTTATGATTTTTTTTTTCCCTCTCTCCTCTTGCTGGATTGGATGCTATGTTGTCTGGATTGAATAATGAATGCTGAAAGAAGGAACAATGGCAATAATAGTGATGAGAATCCTATTTCATAGTTTAAACAACATCAAATTACAAAATATGAATAGTTGGATAGAGGATTATTCAAAATATCAAGGAGTTTACTTTCTATCTAATAATTTACTTCATAAAGTTTAATATATTCTAAATTATACAACAACTTTTTTTAATAGTTATACTTACGTGTAGTCTATGTGTCTTGTTAATTTAGTTGTTATGTATGTACTGTAGAGTATATGGATGTTAATTAACTATCAAATATAATGATTTCATCCAATTTCAAGGAGAATATTATTTAGTCTCTTTCACATTATTTTATTAGGAAATAATTGAGAGATAATTTTTTTTATAATTTTTATGAAAAGTATAATTACATTAATAATTAAAACAATTACAATGCAGATTTTATCTTGTTATATAGATTGTGTAAGAAATATATATATATATATATATAAAAAACTGAGAATGATTTATAATACTATTATAAAGAGCTATTGCTTTTACAAATAGGACAATTAAATACTGAAAACCACTAAATATCAATATACATCATGCGGGTATCAATAGAGTAATGTAAAGACATAAAAAGATTATTTTAAAGTTTTTTATACGCTATTGATAATCACATCTAATTTACCATCTAATCTTAACACAGAAAATTAGAAGACTTGGTAATGTGGTGTTTCCAACCACTACAATGCTCTGTCTAGACTCAAATTAATATCTAACCTACGCATGGATCAAAAACATCCACTTGCATTGCCTTTGCAGTGCCTGAGTTGTCAAGCCGAACCTTAGGCACCCCTCCATCTTTGATTTCTTTCAGAATCAACTTTCTCTTCCCTTCCCTCTCATTTTTCTTACCTGGTGATAGAACCAAACCCCTCCCTATTCTGTCCCAGGTCTTCCGCAAGGCATAGTATTTCCTCTTTGCTATTTTGGCTAGAGAGCAAAGAGACATATCCCCAAGGATGGAGACCAACACCCACTGCTCCAAGGACTTCAGATCATCATCCTTCCTATTCAAGTATGTTGTTTCATGTGCATGATCTCTGCCCCTCTCTTGGTCAGACATAGTTGGCAGCTAGAGTAATTGTATTGCACAATTAAATTTGTAGTAGTTGATAAGTTAGAATTTTATAAATATTAATGTGAAATTTTTTTGTCTTAATATTATTGATATTTAGGTGAGATTTTATTTAATTTTACATAATTTTTATTTCTTGTGCAAAAAAGAACTTAATTGAAAGAAAGCATAAGTTTTGAGACCAAACAGTGAAGATCAATCACTTAAGAATTAAAGTGTGCAGAAACCAGAAGTTAGGTACCAGTTAAGATCAGTCATTTTCTCATTAACCAAAATTGCTTAAAAGGCTAAATCCCAACTCGGATTCTGAATCATCGCGCTGGTGAAGGTGTCGGCACTTTTTGTAGGGTGTCCATTCCTTTGGCAATTTTCAGCGATTCTACATCAAGTCATTATGTTACTTCATTTACTATTAGGGTTGCTTCAAATCCTATAAATACTAATTCAAGATAAGAATTGAGAGAGTTTTGGGAGGCTTTTAATAGCTTTATTGAGGTACTTTTGAAGACCAAATTAAATTAGAATGATAAGAATTCGTTAACAATAAAAAATCAAAGAAATTAACATTCTCAAATTGAGTTTTGTTATTTTGAGTTTTATTTTTGTTTTGACATGAATACTTAATTCATAACTATGACTTCATATTTTATTATTTTAATTATAAATTAATTTTACTCACTAAAACTATGATGTAGCTTAATTAATTTAATATAGATTTTATAACTTTTATATATATTTTTGGAATTACTACTTCCTGATGAATATATATTATTGTTTCCAATGCTTTGTAAAGCTTGATCACCATTAAAATTGACATGAAGAGTATAATTGAGACTAAGAAGAGATTTTATACAATAATTTCTAATAATATACTATGAATTGAATGAAAACTAGAGATGGACCAATGTATAATTTGTGTAGCATTGTGATAATTGGGCTTGATTTTCTACATAAATTAGGAAATTTCACAAAATATAAGGCATTTTAATCTATTTAAATTTACTTTAAATGCATAAAGTTATAATGGGTTAATAGATGAAGATAGATTAGGTATAATTTTAAAAAGTATTTCAAATTATAGGATAAAAATCCATTGTCACATGAGTAATAGACATCTTTTTTTTTTTTTTTTTGAACAAGTTGTTAAGGAGCGGGTTCGAAACCCGTCCATGGGGGAGGGGAATGCACTTCAAGCTGATAAGCTGCTAGTTGACCCAAAGGGTTAGGTACGAGTAATAAACATCTTAAAAGCATAATAATCTAAAATCCCTATTGATTGGTTATGGTGAAACCAAATACTTTAGTACCTTACATCTTGGTGATTTATTTTAAATTGTTACTTTCTTTGAATTAGTTTTAGGTAGAAATTCTTTTTTTTTTTTTAATTTTTTAAATAATTCTAAAATTAAGTATTTTTTATACTTAATTATAATCTTCTTGGGAACAATTCAATATTCATCACTTTATTACTTGAATGACTAGTGCACTTGACAGTGACTTTAGCACATCAGTAGTGTAATTCAAGGGAGAGGGAGTTGTGTGGCATAGAGGGAGGGGGTTGTGCAGTGCAACGGGAGGGAGCAAAGAGGCCATAAGCCACCTGTATTGTTGCTGGGAGGAAAAGAGAGGAGTTTCCTGGGCTCAGTCCATTCGTTTTAGGAAGAAATAGGGGCC